TTTTTTTTTTTTATCTCCAATAAGGTAACAATGTGTTTTTATTCCTTGGATTTATATGCACCTGATACTGATTAAAGAATATAATAATTATTGCCAGAGAAAGACACAGTGGGAGATTTTCTGTTTTCTTAGGATTGCAACTAACAACCCAAAGCTCAGAAAAATGGCTATAAAAACTGCTAAGATTTGACTAAAACTAGCTCTGTTATTCTTAGCCTAGCACATAACTATAGATACACAGAGGAGAAATATCCAACAAAAAACGGTTTTTATAAAGACTGTTGCTGGGCTGGAAGTTAGGAGTGCAGGGCTTCCCATAAGAGTGAAGATGGTTTTCTACATAGTTCAAAAAATCATGACTCTTTCTTTTTCATTAGTTTTAGATCAGGCCTGTGTGGGGCAAAAAGGAATAAGCTTTGAAAACAGAAATGAAATTAAAGTTCCTTTTTAAAATTCTGTACCTAAAAGAATGTTTCAGTATCTGAAGGCTATTCAACTTATGTTATTTCAAAAGTGTATCAACGAGTATTGATTTTTTAACATGTATTAATTACTGTGAGACACACTGAAGGGAATTAGGTATGAATTCAGTTTGATAAATATTTACATATACACCAATATTTCTCTAGTTTCCATGTTATTGACAACTTTTTAACTTTACATTAGAGAAATCAACTTCTATCCTAAGTCTAAGTAAGTCCTGTGAATATGGGCTGCCATGTTATGCCTTTTCAGTGAGTCACCCAAGGGGTAGATGTAAGACGTGAGTCAGGTTTGATAACTCCCAGAAAATTTTACAAGTGGAAAGTAAAGACTTTCTTTTCCTCTGTGGCAGTAGTTCTCAACCTTCCTAATGCCTCAACCCTTTAGTACAGTTGCTGTGGGTTGCAACCCACAGGTTGAGAACTGCTGCTCTATGATCACAGATCTCTAAGCCCAGTGTTCATATCCCTGTAGTTTGAATGAGCCTGTTTGTCATATTGCAGTAAAAGAGAAAAAAGTGACAAAGAATAGATAAAAAAAGACCTGGACAGAAAACATATCCTATGGATATTTAAATTTATAGCTCTATTATCCTGAAGCCTAGTTCTTCTCTGGAAAACCCCTATAAATTTCCCATTACTTGAGTATGTTATCCAGTGCACTTAATTATATTTATTCAACTTAATTTGGACTTAGATTCAGTCTACTGCAAACTGGTTAACCTCTTTTATTAATGTCATCTACTGGAAGAAGACATTCCTAATCTAATAAAAACCCATCTCTATTATTCTATATCATCACAGACTATTCTCAGTGAAGTATATTTTAAAATCAATACTTAATTGTTTATCACCTCTTTTTCTCACCAGATCACAATCTCTGTGAAAATAGAAATCCTATTGGTTTGCTCATTTTTATATCCCTGACACTGAGCACCATGGGCATCACTAATACCAGTTCTTAGCTCTGGCTGGGTGCTCTTGGTGTAGGGAGGTCATCTGACATCTTTTTTATTGGACCTGAACCTGCTTTAAGAATTTTCCCCAGCACATTAAATAAATATGTTCTGAATAGATAAATGTAGAGCAGAACTAAATCCATCCGAGACTAGCTTTTCTTCATAAACTGGGAGAGAATCCAAGCATGGGAAATGCCCAGTCATGATCAGTAAAGCCTCCTAGTTGACTTGCAGCTGACTACAGAGTATCAGAGAGCCCAACCAAGACCACAGCTGCTCTGAAGATCTTCAGACTGAATGACTACAAATTATTTATATTGTGATAACTTAGGTATTGCAGCTAATTATTGCAGAGTTCCCTGGTGTTTAGTGCAGGATGTTACTATGACAATAGCTAACTGACACAACATACCCCAAACATCTACAATATAACTAGTTTCAAATAGCTCCCAATAAAACAAATACTCATACAATTTAAAATCCAGAAGGAAGCTATTTTAAGTAAAGAAAATATTTGTGTTGGATACATAATTGTTTAAAAGAAAGAATACCTAGTTTGGGGTTAGCTCTTATATCAGGTCATCAATATAGTTTGAGTTAATTTTTGTACATGCATGAGGTAGGTTCCAACATCATTCATTTGCATGCAATAATACATTTCCCCTAACACCATTTCTTAAAAACACAATTTTCACTACACTGATGTCGGGGGAACAATGTATCATAGACCTGAATATAAGAGCTAAAACTATACAATTATTCGAATACATAGCTACATAGCTTGGTGGCCTTCATTAGACAATAACTTCTTTGCTATGCCACCCAAAGATAAGCATCAAAGAGAAAAAATAAATTGAAAGTCATTAAAATGATAAACCTTTGTGCTTTAAAGACCACTATCAAGAACCTGAAAAGACAACCCACAGATTGGAGAAAAAATATTTCCAAAACATATATCTGATTAGGGTTATATATCCAGAATATATAAATAACAATTATGATTCAATAACAGACATATAAATAAGTCAATTTAAAAATGTACAAAAGATCTGTATGGGCATTTCTCCCTGGAAGATATACAAGTGGCCAATAAGCACTTGAGAAGATGTACAACAGCATTGGTCCTCAGGCAAATGCCAACCAATAGCACAATGAAAAGATGATTATAATAAAAAGATGAAGGATAACAATTAATGGCAAAGATATGGAGAAATTTGAATTATATTCTGATGGTTAGATTTTAAAATAATGTAATCATTATGGAAAACAGTTTGACTGTTCCTCAAAATGTTAAATATTAGGTGGGCCAAGGTGGCTCATGCCTATAATCCCAGCACTCTGGGAGGCGGAGGTAGGTGAATTGTCTGAGCTCATAGGTTCGAGACCAGCCTGAGACAGAGCAAGACCTCATCTCTAAAAGTAGCTGGGCATTCTGGTGGGTACCTGTAGTCCCAGCTACTCGGGAGGCTGAGGCAAGAGAATTGTTTAAGCCTAAGAGTTTAAGGTTGCTGTGAACTGTGATACCATGGCACTCTACCGAGGGTAGCATAGTGAGACCCTGTCTCAAAAAAAAAAAGTTAAATATTAACTTACTGTGTGACCCAACAATTCCAATCCTGGTTGTGCACCTAAGAGAACTGAAAATGCATGTCCCCACAAATTTGTACATGAATATTTGTAGCAGCATCATTCATAATAATCAAAAAATGGAAATAAACCATATACTATGTTTCCCTGAAAATAAGACACTGTCTTATATTTATTTTTTTCTCAAGAAGACACACTACGGCTTATTTTCAGGGGATGTCTTATTTTTATTAAGTATAATACAACAATCTACATTTATTCAAATACAGTTAAGTCATCTTCTTCTGGAACCTGACAAGGGGAGCTGACCTTATTGGTGGGGCTGGCGCTAGTGACGTGTGAACTCCTTTCCCCTAGCCATTCGCACGTGCCCAATAGGATGCCTGCAACCGGTTACCACATGTGCACCCATGCAAGTGTCAACAGCTTGGAGAAAGGAGCTGTGGAAGATAAAAGTTTTTCCATATCCCTCCATGCAGAAATGCATGGCATGGCTCTGCAGATATGCCTTATAGCCAAGCCCATCACTAGGTCTTATTATCAGGGTAGGGTTTATATTTAACAAATGCATAGAAATCCTACTAGGGCTTATTTTTTGGGTTGGTCTTATTTTTGGGGAAACACAGTAATTACCAACTGATGAATAAACAAATGAAGTGTTGTACATCTGTGCAATAGATAAACATGGTGTCCAGGAAGTCATCATCCACAGGAAAGTTATAACAACAGGTATCTTGAAAGAGGTGGCCAACAGTCAGAGAATATTAACAAACTTTTATAATGAGTATTTTATTAAAAAGATACATTTAGCTACATGTGCAATTCTCTGTTTTCCATTTGTATGAAGATGTTCGGGATGCCCTGTATTATTCATCAATAAAAAGAAATGAAGTGCTGATGTATGCTAAAACAAGTGAAAGCATTACGCCAAGTTAAGGAACCCGGTCACAGAACACTTATTGTATGATTACATTGATATGAAATGTCCAGCATATGCAAATCTATGCAGGCAGAAAATAGATTGGTGGTTTTCAGGGCCCAGAGTGGGTATTGATGGAGACTGATTTCTAATGGGTATGGAGTTTGTTTTGGGGTGATTAAAGTATTCTGAAATTAGATAGCAGCAATGATTATACTGAATTATGTACTTTTAAAGAATGAATTCTATGGAATATGAATTATATTTCAATTTGATATAAAAATATAAAAAAAAGTATGCAAAAACTTGTAAAGGGAAGGGAGGTATACAAATACTTTTAATTCATTGTTAAAAGTCCAAGTTCATATTAAATCACATGATATTTATCTCATTCAGATTAATCCATATAACTATATCCAGATTAAAAAAAATCCATCTATATAAAGAAAGACAATATAACATGCCAACAATTTAGTGCTGTCTCTTTTATGTGTATTTGTGTTAGCTGAATAAAAAGATAATTCATTTTTTAAAACATTAATTCAACAATATTTTACCTGAAGTATTAAAAATATTAAAAAAGAATTATTAACTCAAAGGAATAAGAAATAATAATGAAAAACAATAGAAATTGAATTGATAAATAATAATAAGAGAGATTATTAAGAAAACTTAAAACTGCTTTTTAAGAGTAATAAAATATACATAGACCTATGGCTAGATTGATGGATACACACATATGCACCCACACAAATGGATAGAGATCAACGAATAATAGAAAGAACGGGAATCAGAAAACAACAAAGAATATGGGAAATACAAAACAAAAGAGTGAGACATGCATTTTAATAATGAATTTGAAAATAGGTAAACCAAACTGTTTTCTAGAGCAGTGTGTTTCCCAAATTAACTCAAAAAGAAATAGAAAATCTATTGCCTCATGACTAATAGGTAGATTAAGATCTATCTATAATCATTA